GAGTAGTTGTAATTTAAGTGAATAGTACATTTTTCTTTGTTTTTGCGTTTTTGGCAATCAAGGACAAATTTTCAATGGCTAGAATAGCGAACGGTTTGAGAACATGCTATAGTTATAGGGAGCGATTTACACTATGGCTCTAAGGACATATATGTTATTAGTTCCTAGATGTTACTAAGCCCCATCAAGCCATAGGGCTGTTAGCATTTGAAGTATTTTGCAGCTCATGCTGAGTGGCTTTCAGTGCTTTTTGTAGTAGTCCATTCTACACCATAACGCCATTGCAGTTGAAAATTAAACAAGAGTCAAGTCAGATTTCAAATGCATCACCTGCACGGTTTCAGTAAAAACTTCAAGTTTCAGTAAACTGCAATCGTCTAAAGGTTGAATGTTATACGAAAAGACTTAATTTTACGCTGGATTTGTAGACTGTGTGCACGTATGAACAGCAAACTGTCGTTTATAAAACAACTTTTCTTGAGCACAGCGCTTAAAGCACCAATAGATACTGTGGCAATAACACTTGACCACTGTTTTTTTGAGTCGTCAACCACATGCGACTATAATCAGCTGTTCTAAACTTCCTCATTGGAAGTCACAAAAAAGCGGTGGGTTTTTCGAGAAGTTGTTGATCGTGTAATTACCAAAGAGTCTTTCGTCTTTGTGTAAGTGTTATTGAAGCGTTTGGCCTAGTAGATTGTATATCAGTATACCCTTCCAGGCTCTGAAGAAGGCGATACTGCCGAAACGTCAGCTAGCGTTGTATTGTATTGTGTTTTTATGGAAGTAAATGTATGCTGTTTAAAAACCTCGCGATTACTGAACAAGAAAACGACTGTTTTTAAGGTTAAACTGTGTTGAATTCTGTTAGCGGACGCAAATCCTTTAACATCGAGCCACTCTGTAGAAGCTTCGCCAATGATTTGCCATCTTATTATGATGAAAACCTTCCCTATTTGTCGAACTTCAGTGCGCAAGTCTAGTGGAGACGTTCCTTCTCCCTCTTGCACGTCAGCAGTCTTCAGTTGAGCTCTCTCTCGAATTGTAACAATTTTTTGCAGCTAAATGAGCTCAAGGGGCACGTGTGGCGCAATGGTTAGAGGCGCCACTGCGACACACGTGGAGTCGATCCCGGCGCCCATGGCCCACCAAGTCTTCCATCCCTCCGAGGTCGGCGCAAATTTGTACGAGACTTGTCTGGGAGGATAGTAGCACTGCCTCGATATACAGGTAGGCCACCGTAAATTATTGTAAAGGCCAGACATGCATTCAATTACCTCCAACGGTACTAAATGAAGTCGATTACATGGAGCATTCTTCATGGATTGATCAACGCCGAGAACTTCATCCTTTTAAATGATCTCATCCGAAAAACGGTTCTTTGCAAATTCGTGAGCCATCCTGACACAATATCTGTCTGGAACAGGCTATCGAATGGAGACAAATATTGCTCCGAGGAAGCTCTGTGTTAGAAAATAAACTGCTTGAAAGGAAACGAAATGGGTGCAATTCACTTCACCACTTTGTCACCAAGAGTGCGTTGCAGCACACAATGGATTGCTGTACGTTAATACGGAATGCCTTTTTAAAGTATCGTAACAAACTGCTCTTTATTAGAGAGAATCTTCGCATTCATATCGCTTTGAATATTCCAGGCTTGTTATTCAACCCTATTGCGCAAGTGGTAGCAGCGCTTAACGTGGTGAACTCCGACTTAAACTGAAAGCAATCCAGAATGTACCAGATACAGCGAGAAATTCACTTTTTTCGCACTTGATATTTAACAAACTTTTACGGCAATGTGTCAGAGCTATTGTGACCGTCCAATTAATTTAACATTTCTCCTATGCAATCTTTATCTACCAGTCGAACGGCTACAACTCAGCCTTCATATAAAACACTTCTGGGATCTAAATAACACCTTCCTTTTAAGGTAAAACTGATTTTACTGTGAATTTGAAGCATATCACGTCTTATTCCACCTTTCGTTGTCGTTGAACTATTCAGACCGCAATAAGAAAACTATATACTATAGATGAATCCTTTCGTAACATTGTGGCATGTGTAGAGATTTTCACTTCCTCAATAGAATAATTGTGTTCGTGTTCTGAACATTTATTCTGCCCATTCCTTTTTTAAGGCAGAGTACGATATAAAGTACAACCCACAGAGATTCTGAGAGAAGCGAAACTCGAAGCCTCAGATGGGTTTCCAACCCGCGTTTACCATTACCGGGACTTACGTGCTATCCACCACACCAACCGAGAGTCTTACGTTACTTTTCTCTCAGTCATTTCTATTCCCGAGTTTTGTTCATACCTCACCATCTTTGTGATTGCCTTTGTGTTCGTTCTACATGCGTTAACTGCTGCTGAATTAATAGCCAATGCCCGGAAAGGTGTTCATCAGTACGCATGTTGGGAGCCCCTGTTTATAAGGGCTAGGAAAAGAGGGTCAATTAAGAGAGTTGAAACAATATTTAAATGTACTCGTTGTGCGTTCAGTAGCATCTTGTCTTGTGAGAAGATAAGTTCACAAAAACCCCCGCATTATTTATGCATCGCTCACTAATCACTGGCTTCTTGATTGCATTTATGCGCCAACAAATGGTGCCAGATCGTAATTCTGAATAATTCAGACGAAGCACCAACTGCATAGCACCCTACACAGGCACGCGATCTCAGTGATGGAAGGTCGAGTTTGTTCAATAGAGCCGAGCTAAAGAATATGGCTAAACACAGCTGTCTGAGTTGCAGCTTCAACTCCTCTCTGCGCCTTCCGTACCGGCTCAGCGTCACGAAGTTCGTTGCAGAATAAGAGGTTCTTTGGAGTTTGGTGCACAAACAACATTACGAATTGAGTCCAATGCATCTGCTAAAACATGAAACAGCGAGACAACGAAAATCAGGTGTTATCACCAATGTGTTAAAAGGCTACATACGTCTCTGGTAAACTACTACTTGGGAAATTGACAACGTCCTCTGCGTCGCTACTCTATATTTTTTCATTATTATTTCTTAACAACTTTTGGTCCTGTTTTAATTTTACTATTGATTTAATTTCACCAAATTTTTATCCAGCTTTCCTATCTGCCTTGCTCGTTTGTCAGGTAGAAGGTCCCAAGGTAATTAGGTATCAAAAATTGACATACTTGCTAAAATGTGGAAGGTGAAATCAAGTTGAACAACGGTGTCAAGTATTTGTTAAATGCTGACAGTAGTTTGAGTAGGATAAGCGAGAAGAATGGTGCCAGGAAAGGTGAAGACGACCTGAAATCATGGCCGAGCATTGACACTGTGCATGTTTTTTAAAATGTTTTTTAAAGGTTTGACAATAATAGAAGGCTGTATCCGACTAGTTTCGGGACATCGCAGAGATCGAACCGGTTTCTACTGCCTTTTCCTAAAGATCGATGTTTTTAACCTCGTTGGCAAGAAAATTAACGGATTTCGACGAAAAGTTTAAGCGTAGTTGCCAGCTGAAGGCGAAAAGGTGGAGTATTTTCTGGCCTCACCTTTTAAATGGGTCTGATCAAATTGCCAACCGTGAAGCTCCAATTGTAACAAATGGTGGGTCATCCAAAGGGCGATTTCAGAAACTTGGTGCAAACTTTTAACTGATAACACAAACTTTGATGGCTCCGAGTGGCCATATCAGTACAAAATTTTTGCTGATGTAAATTGTTAATTGACTTCCCATGGTCAGTATTAGGTAATGTATTGGTAGTTTCTTGCTTCTTTAAGATCTCTGCACGATTTAAATCTTCTCCATAAACTTTTAGAACCTTTATACAGGAGTTACCCTCGTTTAGTCTTTACTGAGGACCAAGGATGAAGGCTTTTTAAAAATGCTTCTTTTCCATCTGAAATTTTGTTTTTAATATCATTTCTTTAAAAATTTTTTGTGCAGATATTCAAATACCTCAGATGTAGCCTTTTAGAGGAGGGAAGGGCGCTCGAGTTACACGTGATGTTTATCACTAGAACAGTGAAAATGAACGAAAGAAATCCCAAAAAATGCTCTAGGCGAGTTTTTTTGGAGAAACACTGAGTGTTTAGAAAACACTGAGATCGCTTTACGTTTTCAACACTTAGAAGAATAGTCATCGATTAAGTGGAATAGTCAGAAACAGATACTGAAGTCGCAGAAAAAATGCTTCCTCCGTTATGTTGTTTAAAAAAAACAATCGTGAAAACTCACTAAAATCGCAGGGGAAACCGAAATCCTTCGATAAGCCCTAATTTATGAAATAAACGATTTAGTGGTTGTGGAGTGAACACAACGGTTTATTATAATGCTCGAATCTTTGTGTCATCCATAGAAATACCTTCACCGAATGATGGAGAAGTTAACGGAAAACCAGCCGGATTTTTCACGTGTCAGCCTTTCGATAAGAAATGCTGTCTGTCCTATTATGGACGTGTTGTCACGTCACATTGGAAATGAATTGACATTGCAGAAGAAGTTGTCTAAAATTCAACCGCTTGACAGCTTAACATTAATATTCCATGCGAATGGTGACAGATGCGCGAGCTGGTCCGCGATTCGTCGGCTCCACCTCCAGCTGTCGAATGTCCTCTCCACTCGACCATTGGTGGATGAGGAGGGAACGGCCAACTCAGCGATTCTGCCTCCTACGGTACTTTCTTTGCGGAATGGACTCTAAGGCCAGCTTCTCCGAGACAAAACCACCTCTATCAGCCATGGGGCAAGTGGTTGAGTCTATTGGAACTGATAATGACATCCAGGTCAGTCTCTAGGACCTACGACGGCGCTGAACACCTATACACCGATCTGCTTGATCCGACAAACCAGCGTTTACCGCTATCTTCAGATTTTTGTTTTCTCTCATTTGTTGGATCAAAAATAACCGTTTTTCGTATGGATATATAATGGATTTCTGAGTGTTCAGGGCAAATGCCGGATGTGTTCTGGTAGAATCGCAGACAAGTATTTGATAAGAGTAAGTGAAGTTCTTCTGTGACTGTGATTTTTTGGTAATGTTCTACCTTACCTTCAAAACCACATTTCAGATTGATGCACGGGTTTTCCATGAGAACTGCATCCGGTGCCGTGTTTGTCATGTCCAACTGCTGGACAAATGTTACGAAAGAGGAGGCCAACTATTCTGTAGCATTCATTATTTCAAGTAAAATTTCAAGATCTCTCATCATCGTTAGAGGGATAATACTGACCCACTTATTGCCCAAGATACTCTTTCGTATTATTCAGCAAAACGTTTTTTTTTCACTGTATCATGCAAATGAAAATGGATTTGGTTCGATGTGCCAAAAATTATGGAGCTACTGTAAATAGTTCAGAACTAGTGAAATAGAGGAATTTATTGACCAATATATGAACGGAATATGAATAATACGGTATGGAAATAGTGTCCACTTTCTGATTCAAACTGAGATATCTGCCCTAATAGGGCATTTTCTTAACTGAATTCTACAGAATGAACGAGATGAAATTTACGAACCGCTGGCAATCGGGTACACGTTGCTTTATTCTCCGACAAGGAGAGAATCCTGAGACGTTTCGATGAGTTTCATGTTTTCAACACGAAATCAGATGAACGATTGAGAGTTCGTTGAGATTCGATGGTTCTCTGCAAAGTATTGTTTCGCTTTGCCGTCGAGGCGCTTTAGCTGAAAATCTTAATAGTTTATGCATACATTTTTAAACTTTGGGGAAAAAACCTGAAAAAGCCTAAAGGAGTTCAAACGTATCGATATCGCCAAAATTCTACCTGTAATTCTCCTTGGTTCTCCTAGAAAGCTATCTTTGCTTTGATTGTTGTTTACCAACTAACCACAGTTTGTACATCGAAATATGACCTGTCATATTTCCTACCGTTTATGTTAACCAGTATACGGCAAACAAAAGACGTTACCCACTCCTAGATCTCCGGATTTAGTGCTTTGCAAAAAGAATTTACGAAAAACAAAATGATAACGAACGAAAAACTTGGACTTTTGTTGTTTTAGACGAAGACTTTGATTTTTTCATTAGTGCTTCACTTCTTAGAGATTGCAGTCCTCATCAGTGTTCTGGATGCAAACTTGGTATTTCTCCCACTGATATGGTATACAAGTTAAAAGTAAGTTTTTCCGCTAAAGTAAAGACTACTAATGTTCGTTTTTAGCCTTCCGATTGAAGAGTTGAATGCACTTCGGGGTCAATGAGAATTTCAGACTGGTATGGTGTTTCATGTGGATTGTCATGCCTGCATTCGATGTGGCTGCCGCCTCTATCCGGGCGAGCAGATCCTGGTCGACGAAGTCGAACGAACCGTATCCTGCATGCATCACTTCTATCCCGGTCAGTCTTCTCTTTGACTACCACAGGCGACGATGGATGTAGAATAAACTAAGTTTCAGATCCAAAACGATCCATTTCAAGTTGTTCCTATGAAAATTCATAATATATGTTTGAATATGAAACTATTAAGCTAAAACAAAGAGTCGAATTGTCATCTCTGCAAAAAGGCGCAATACCGTAAACATCAGCAGCAGCTGTCCTTAGAAATGATTGGAGGAATTTCGTGCAGTCGTCCAGTCGTGATTTAAAAAACATTAGTATGTCGATAAAGCTTCCACGCTTTATACTCATCGAAACAAGAGGCTCTAGCACAACTGCACCAATTTTTCCTCCAATGTCATCGTTCTCTTCCATGAATTCATTCAGTTTTCGTTTGTTTGTCACAGACGTGATCTTCGTGGAATAGCTCCATCCTATTTAGCGTCACCTTGGCACTTATCTCATGCTTCGTTCTCAGTGTTTTCTCAAAGTTGGAACATTCTGTATGCGTTTTGCTCTAGATGAACAGTCAGTTCAATAATCGAGATATGGTAATTTTTCGAAATTTTGGACGGGGAAATCTTACCATACGTTTGTCGAGATGGTTGTGCTTTATGGTTTACGACGTGTTAAACTTATTGATTCTTCCCAAAGCTATCTAACAGATTATTATAAGCAATAGCTGACTCCGACAAGGGTAAAATGAACTTATTTCGTCAGTCGGTCGATGATTTTTGTTATTTTATGAAGTTAATAGATTTGGGCGAGCAACTTGTGACAACTGTTCCGACCTGTCCTAACGAGGTCAGAGCCATCGGTTCGTGTCAATTCAACGAATTTCGGATAAAAAAGGTTCAACTTCCTTCTAGTAGCTAAATTTGTTTGTCTATCATAGTGAAAAACATATCGCCTTTCTTTAGGAGATGGACTCATTCGGGTACAATTTTGATTCGTACACTTTCTCGGAGTTCTGCGACGATGAGAACAAATTTCTGAAGCGGAGAGGACCCCGCACAACGATAAAACAGAACCAGGTTCCCAAGAACAAACTGCATTCGTTCAACAAATCGTTATAGGGCTCTGTATTTCAGCTTGATGTGTTAAATCGAATTTTCTCTTCCACGCCAAAGCCTTCAAAGCATGCACGTGCCAAACTTGCGCTCGAGACCGGACTCACTATGAGAGTTATTCAGGTATTTCATTCTTTAGAATCGTACACACAGAACTCAAGAGGTGAAGGAAGAACAGCTATTACTGGTCAATTTTTGACCATGCTCGTTTCGATCATTGTTTAAAGGGACTGAGAAAAAACTGCACATATGGTTCTTCATAAGAAATTTTAGTGCTTTGTTATTCATAAGAGTGGTGTGCTTTTTATAAACGCGTGCCTTTCGTTGCGTAAATTCATAAACATCCTTAAACGTGACTGATAACTTGCCAATATTTTTTCCCCTCAAACGAATATCCATAACGTCTTTGGATTTCAGCATTGCTTCAATCTAACCATCTGAACATCACCATCTGAAACAGATAGCCCCATTCAGTTTATGCTCACAACGTTGGCCAACATAGGGTGGTTGAACCCTTTCAGTGAGATGGAAAACACTAGCTGGGTGTTGACAGACACAGTGTTTTCCAATTTGGAAACTTTGTCCACTAGAATGCAGGCTCGATTCTTCCAATTGTCTCGATATTGATGGTGGAAATCCCCATGACGCGCCTTCCCATTTTGTCGTCAGCGATTCTACCCAACTTTTCCTATCCTCCAGATTCTTCACTATAATGTTCATGGCTGACCAGTGAGTTGCTAATGATTAATGATTGGTGACTGAGTTATCATTACGTCACATTCGTTCGTGCGAACTTAATTGATGCTCATGTAGTTTGCACACATTTGTGATCATTTGTGACCTGCAACGTCATTTGTACAATATACTTGATCAAAATACTCGAAAAAAGAGGCGCAGTGGTCGGAGACGCCCTACTTTACACACGGGATCGATCCCAGAGCCTCAGGCTCATCAAGCCCTCCATCCCCAGGAGTTGACAGATTACTTGGTACCAGGCTCGTCCAGGAGGATAGCAGTACTGGCCCGATATATCGGCATGCCACCGGGAGTCATTGTAAAGGTCAGATATATATTCAGTCATCCCCAACGATGCTTAAAGAAGTCCAATGCGCGACGCATCCCTCAGGTATTAATAAACGCCGAGAGGTTTATCCTATATTTTAGTTACTGATTGTTATTTTGATTTCCAGTCAGCATAACAGATCATGTTATTGTATGGAATGGGCGGTTATAAAGAGTATAGACCCTATCGCAGTTGCTAGCGGAATATAGGCCTTCGAGTTAGTTCTCGACAACGAATAACCACTAGCTTTAAACAGAATGCTCGACTTCGTGATAAGACGCCACGCGGGACTTTTCGTAGTTGACACAGGACAACAGCTTTCGACACTCAAACTTGGGATTAAATCTTTATATACATAAAGGCAAAAACCAATACAACAGGAATAACGATGAAAAGAATACTGGCGTAAGAATAAGGCAATCAAGTCGAACGTAACACTCCCAAAAAAGCAAATCCCAAGTAACTCGAAAGACCGACCTTCTATAAACCTCGGCATAGATAGCTGATATATTTATCTATGTGATCTTATAAACTGATCTTCTTAAGCTGACGCGAGGTTGGTACAGATCTTCGTTGTCGTTGCCTTTGTCGTTGTTTTTGATATTATTGATCGATGGCTGACGTTTCGGCGACTTCGTCTTCCTCAGAGCCTGGACGTATTTTATGTTAGAATACTTTTTATTAATCGGTGGAAAAGAAGGTTGAAGTATTAATGAAGATCAAATTTTCAAATAGACGCCATTTTGAACAGAAAGGCCACTCACCATGATGTTACTTTGAACAGAATAAACGGGACTGGCCCACACGTAGTTCACATGGAGTCGCGAGCAAGACACACCCCAGGGTTAAAATATCATTTTGAAATAGGGCAGGTGACGCGTGATAGTGAGGCATTCGTCCTTCCGGTTCATCTTTGGATTTTTGAAATTTATCCAAAACGCCTCAAGAGTTTTGCGCGTTGATGTTTTTGATTCCTGCGCTAGGATCCGCACATTCACTTCAAGGTCATCACCGTTGTGGTTTTGTGCCCTATGCGTACCTAGAGGGGTGTTTAGACGGATTTAGCTTTTCCATTTAGATGTTCTTTTATGCGGACACAAAGTGGTCTACCCGTTTCCCCAACATATTCCTCGCCACATGCATTACATGAGATCAAGTATATTATACCTGAACTCATGCAATCCCCGTCTCTCCCGTTAGGACAGATCATACAGTTTTCTGAGCTGCACAAACGATCATAGAGACGGTTTCGAACTAACTGGCGTCGTAGGGTATTGGGTGGGAT